GGCCAAGCCTATGCCTAAGAAGCCGAAGGATGCCGCCGCTGCGGCTAGCTCCGATCAAGCATCCGGCAACATTGACCCTGACTCTGAAGTTGATCTGCATGCCGCATCTCCCTGGGGCGGCCGCCGACAGGTTATCAAGACAAAAAGACGCCGTGAGATGAATGCCCAGGCAAAGGATTTGTTCCGTGATGCGGACGCAGCCCAAAAGTTTTTCACAAAGTTTAAAAAGGATACAGATGAAATTCAATGGTTTCCTCGCCCTGCGGGTCCTCAATGCTGTAAGAATTTTGAAGACTGTGGAAATTCAGAGGCAATGTTCTGGTGCCACCCTTGTGGCTTGGCCTACTGCTTGGAATGCCGCACCTGCGGCTTGTCTTGCAAACATAACATTGTTAATTTTTCCTCTGAGTTGTCCTCTGATTTTATTCCAGACAGCATCGGCTCATCCAAATCGCCTTTCGATATCGAAGACCTGGTTGACGCTGTTCTTGCTGAATCTTCGTATTTCGGAGCCACCCGCAGAGAGCATGCTCAAAATCGCCAAGAAAAATTCTCTGAACTGATCACGCATCTGCGTGAGGGACGCTCCATTGGAAACACTTACCTTCAGTCTTTTGCACGTCATGGAATTGAAGATTTTGATTATACAGAATATGTTTATGAAATGCCATTTGGATGTCGAATTCCGACTCTCCAGGAGCACTTTGTTGATGCCCAGGACCAGACGCCTCTTCCGATCTGGCGACCTGAGGCTTTCTTCAAGTACCCTGATGGCGGTGAACTTACGTCAGAGGAGATTCTCCGTTTATTGGAGCTCTTCAGATCGTGCCTTCTCGGTAAGAGAGCAATCCTCGGTGTTACCAAGCGCACTAAGGAGAACATCCACGAATTTCAGAAGGACACGTATCAGCTTGGCATTTTGACGTTGAACCTTGGTCACATCAACCGTCTTCCGTATATCGGAGGTTGTGAAAAATTTCCAAAATGGGTCAGAACTGATATTAACCATCGTGCCTTGCCACATTTAGTGTTCCGTAATGCGGCCCATATTGTGTGCTTGTGCGAAGCTTCCGATGAGTACGGAGGAATTGCCGTCCATCGAGAACTTGCCGAAGAGTACGGCATGATTGGAATGGTAGTGCACCCGCACATCCAATCACAGTCCCTTGCAATTTTTCTCCGTGGCTCACATGATGCAGGCTCATTTATTGAACTTTTATGTCAACACCAAATTCAAACATCCAACAAAGATGCACCTTTTTGGATTTTGCATGGCGCCATTTTCCGCCTCTGCCATGGCATGAACACGTCAGGAGAATTTGTTGATCCTTCTACTGGCGCTCGTGTTCCGAAACCGGACATCGAGAAAAATGCCGAATCTACGGTTTACCAGCATGATCGCCCACTTGCATCCTCACTCGATTTTCTTGATCATTCGATCTGCGAGATCGACGGAGACGATGACCTTGCCGTCTCCGGCGTGGAAGCTTGTGAAGTGAATCTTGGAGCTGACACCCATGACGTCCGACGTCTCATGTTAGCTGAATGCCGTATAGCGGTTTTTCATATCTCCTCATATGCATGGAGTAATGCCTATAAAGAAACGTGCCAGAAATGGCTCCAGTTTGTCGCAAGCTGTATCGAACATCAGTGTGACTTTTTGTCCGGTGACGGGAATCTTTTCGCACAGCGAAGCTTTAAGGCAGACGATCATTCCGACTACCGGACATGCATTCTTATCGACATTTTGGAGCGTTTCCTTCAGCAGATTAATCTTCACCGCAGTCCGATAAACCGTATTACGTATAACGTAGTTTCATCGACCACTGCTGCTGATTACATCCGAAGCATGCGTGGAGATGATGCTGATTGTGATTCAATGCTTTTAATTTCTCTTTGTTACGGTAAGCAGATCGCTGTCACGGAAGCACGTGCAAAAGAAGAATCCGCTTCTGCCGATGGATTTGCAGGATCTGCCTTTTCCGATGAAGTTATGCTGAACGATGTTGAACAGTTGAAACATTTGATGGCATATGACCTTGGTTTGGCAGAAAAGGACTGTGCTTGGCACTCACCTCTCCTTACATATGCCTCCCTAAAGGCATTGAAAAATATGCGCATCCGTTCCAAGGAATCTGAAGATAAAAGACGTGAAAAATGGATGCAGAGAACTCAAGGATATCTCGACAAACGAGAAGAAAGGAGAGACAGTGTTCCGCCTTTGCGGACTGATTCACACCGAAATGTTGGACGCACTCGAAGTCGATCGGTCAGCAGGACCAGAGCATATCGACCCAGAGCTGAAACACCAGCACCGCCTCCGGCACCAGTGCGAGGTCCAGCAGAGAAAGCCAGACCAGTGCAATATAAAGCTGCACCAAGATCCTTAAGAGAAACATCCGCACCGAAGTCATCAGGATCTTCCTCAAGTGCAAGGCCGCCTGTAAAGGCTCCTCCAGTTCCGGTTCCCGGACGAACATTAGGTTCACAACAGCCTCGAACGCCACCTGATCCGCCAGGACAACCGAAGACTCCACCGCCGTGGAGAGAGAGATTACAACAGGCTGACCAGAGGCAGAGATCGCAGCAGGCCGACCAAAGGCAAACAACCAGAAAAAGGCCTATTAACGTACCTGAGCCTCCTGCGCCTCCATCCCGCTTGTCGGGTTAGCAATGGCTTAGCCAAGGAACAGCTTCAAGCTCTTCCGGACACCGTAATTACGGTTACAGTTATGATCAGCCGTCGTACTATAGAGTGAATCCCAATACCACTCAAGTAGAATACATCCCAGGGTACCAAGTACCCAGACAGCGTTGGGTCCAGAAATACGACGGATCGTGGCTTGACATGATCCCGCAAACACCGGATCAGTCCATTTTCTTTCATTTGTCCGGGGAACACCGTAGGCAAAACGAGCTGAGTTTCTACGGTTACTATTTCACTATGGGCTTGTAGCCCCAGAAAAATTGCAATGTTCCGCATTTGCGGTAGCTTGACAGCAGCCGAAAACCAACCGCTTTCAAACAGCGGAGAGTAGCTTTTGTACAGTTTTGTTTTTGTCTTCGGACCGTCTCACAGCAGATCACAGGCTGAGCGCTACCTGTGAAACAGATTTGCATGTTCCGACACGAAGAAAATTTGTGTCTGTTTGTGATTTATTTTGTTTTACGTGTCTACACAATGCTTTCATGCATGTTGACATGTACACCTAATTCATATCTTTCATGCGCACTCCGCATGGCTCAAGACTAGAAGCAATTCCGCAGCATAGAAAAGTGTCCGCCGCTCACTGCTTGACACAGGTGTTTTAGGATAGTGTTCCAGGGCTCCCTTAAAGGGGAAAGCTACCTCACCCCCCGTGGGGGCTCCCCAAGCTAGGGAATTTTCACTTTTCCCCCCCGTGGGGGCTTCCCAAGCTAGGGAATTTTCACTTTTCCCCGCCGTGACAGCTTCCCAAGCTATGGAATTTTCACTTTTCCCTCCCTTGGAGGCTCTCCAAGCTGCGGAATTTCAAATAGCTAGACAACGACGCCTAGATAGTCCCCCAAATCCCGTGTTCTTTGAATGTGTTTCCATGTTTTTGCAATGGTTTCCTTCAAAGCACGGTACTTTACACTTTTGTCGCCATAAAACCGGTCGAAAACATCATGTTCGACAATGCTTCCAATTCCCTTATCTCCCCAACCGTTGAAAATACCGCTATTTACAGTGTTTTCTTCAATTTTTCCATGTGCCAATGCCGGTAGCCAACTCCAACATATATATAAGAAATCCTTCCAAAACATTTTTTTTGACAGTGTTTTTCCAATGTTTCCAGTCAAACAGACGGTAATTTACACGTTTTTTGCAATAAAGGCAGTAAACCCTTCCAAAACATTGCTTTTGACAGATTTGACAGTGTTTTTGTAATGTTTCCAGTCAAGCATACGGTAATTTACACGTTTTTTGCTATAACGTCAGTCCAAAACACTTGTTTTTGCAGTGTTTTCAATGCTCTGGCATCCAAAAACCCTGCAAAATCTTGCTATGTACAATGTTTTTTTCATTTTTGGCCGTTTTTCCATTGCCGGAAAGCTACCAAAATGACCCAAAATTCCATTTCAATACCCTCTTGCGCTCAGACACCCAAAAATCCTCGAAAAATGTCGAAAACACCACCGTATTCTGGTCTCGGTGCGAAACCGTTTTTGGCCCCCCCCCCAGCTAAAGCTGATATAGCGACTGCTATATTAACAAATGTCATTGAGCATTTAGTGTTGCTGTTGCCCCCCAATAAGCACGCCTTCACCGCCAAAGCGGTGTGGGCGGATTTACTAGTCCCTATATATATATATTCATATTCATTATAACCATTGTTGGCTACCATGATATATAGTTATCATTCAACTTAATAGCTAGTCATAGCCACAGTTACTTCACCCGTTTATATATGGGACTTAGAAACTGGTTAATAAGCCCGGTTAGTAAGTCCCCATTGTGTGGGCTATCCCATTTATAAATGGGTGAACTAACTGTACTTGTACATGTACAGAAGTATGCACACACACAGAGATATATATATATACATATACATTCACAAATTATTGATTTATTTCCATATATTCACATATATATATATACACACACACCTGCACCTGCATCCACATCTACATCTATATGGAGGTTTCCTGAAATAGGGGTACCCCCAGTCATCCATTTATAGATGGATTCTCCATGAATTCTTCAGCATCCAGCGTGCGTGCTATTGGGGTACCACTATGACTGTGGATCCCATGAATTCCCCACAGATCCCCATATTTTCCCTTATAAACCAACCAAATGACTATGGAAAGCCTAATGACTATCTACCATTTTTTTGAACCCCATGAATACTATAGTGATCTATAGTTGCATAGCTTTAGTTATATCTACCATAAACCATAGTTCATTCAGCTATTTATAAGGCACCTTAGTTTGTCGCGTTTTCTACATACCTCCCATCCCCTGGAGCTCTGATCAGGACGAGTTGAAACGGAAGTTCCGCCTCTGGGGCGGCAAGGAGAAACCGACCTTCGGCGAGGGCCGCCGTGGTGGCATCCCGGCCTTGGTGCCTTGCCGGGATGGGGGAGCTAAGATGGCTAAGGTGGTGGTGGTGACAATGACTTACTGATGCGTTTTATGCGTGCTAAACGTAGGGTTGCTGGATGGGTTGCTGGAGGTTGCTGGGATGATGATTGATTGATAGTTAGCCAGTGGATCATTCCCGAAAATTCCCTACTAAGCACAAGCAAGATGAACAATAATGATAAGAATAATAAGAATAATATAGTAAAATGCTAAAAATCATGAACAATTGTGAAAATAATGATAATGATTAATGTTAAACATGATAATTGTGATGATCGTGATGATAATGATTCTGATAATGATGATGGCAAAGATGGTGGTGGTGACATTGATGATTACACTGACGACAACAATGGTGGTTTTTGATGATGACGATGGTTATTGATGATGTTGAGGATGATGATTTTTAGAACACGTGGTATAGCAACAACCCGCTCTATCATGGCAATCCTTTGTACTGTAAATGGATTGATCCGCGCAAAGGGGCCCCATTTGGGCAAGTAGTGGGTATTGATTGATTACCAGAGATGTTCATGGGACGGGGTGACTTAACAGGGATAATACCAATGTATATATATGGGGATGTCTGAAAATGTCGTGTACCCCTTTTTACCCAATGGTTTTGCTGATCATTATCCCTATTAAATGGCTACAATTGGGAATATACCCTATTTTCAGACAAACCCATATATATATATATATACATATGAAACAGCAGAGGGGATAGGAAAAAACGGGGTTCGACCAAGAAAAGGCGAAGATCAGCCAAGAAAACAGGGAAGTGTGAGGCAAGAACTTCGGGACGCAGAGATCTATAACCTGCTAAAATAGGGGTTTGAGGCAGAAGTCATTGGGATTTCAACCCAGATGGCAGGGGCCACAGATGGCCACAGATGTGCATGAGGGTGAAGCAACCAGCTACGATAGGGATTCAACAATGAATATGGCTGTACCCCATGGTAGAGCAACATTTTAGCTGTCTCTGACAGGGGAAAAAAAAGTTGGAAAGAGGTGTAGGTTTCGCATTTCAATTCTGGAAACCAGTGATACACATGCACAGTTACGTACATGTTGATACACATGTGGATGTTGACTCCTAGTAGTCAGAACATGCTCCCAACCCCCAACCGGTCCCCGGTCCCCGGTCCCCATCCCAAAAGCAACCGCTTGTTTCAAGCCTGCGGCGAGGTGGTGATCAACGAAGCTGGTGAAGAGGTGAAGTATTTGGATGCCGAGTCCAAGGGTGCTGGAGCGCTGGGGGAATGGTAGCGGCAACGCTGGACCACGACAGACCCGAGGGTTCACGCTGGAAAAAGGTTGGTGACATCTGGTGGCTGGCAGTTTCCAAAACCCATTTGTTGATGAATGACTTTTGTTTTTGACATTGGGGATTTATATAACCATCATGGATATATTTTTGGGGGATCTAGCATCAAAAATATGGGGATGTACTGGACAAATGATAGTTGGTTGATGGATCAGATGCCAGCAGGCATCGTGTTTGATCCTAGAAAATGATGCTGAAATTTCGATGGAACACCAACCATTAGGCATTTGCAGATAAATTTTCAAGGACCCAGGAACCAATGGAAAGCAATTCTCCCTTCTCCCTTCTCTTTCTCTTTCTCTCTATCTCTCTCTCCATCTGTCTATCTGTCTATCTGTCTATCTATCAATCTGTCAATCTGTCAATCTGTCAATCTGTCAATCTGTCAATCTGTCAATCTGTCAATCTCTCCATCCTCTCCATCCTCTTCTCAATCTATCGATCTATCGATCTATCGATCTATCGACCTATCTCTCTCTCTCTCTATCTCTCTATCTCTCCATCCTCTCCATCCTCTCCATCCTCTCCATCCTCTCCATCCTCTCCATCCTCTCCATCCTCTCCTCAATCTATCGATCTATCGATCTATCGATCTATCAATCGATCAATCTATCAATCTATCTACAGTATTTCTCTCTATCTCCCTCTCTCCCTCTCTCTATCTCTCTATCTCTCTATCTCTCCATCCTCTCCATCCTCTCCATCCTCTCCATCCTCTCCATCCTCTCCATCCTATCCTCTCCATCCTCTCCCTCCCTCCCTACCTCCCTCCCTCTCTCCCTCTCTCCATCCATATATATATATTATCTATCTATATATATATACACGCACACACACACACACACCTAGTCCCACTATATGTAATGTTTTTTTGAGATCCGCTCTAGATGGCTTTGGGTCAAAAATTCCAGACCCTTGGATCCACCATTGTTGCTAAGATTTGGTATGAAGTAGTGCCATTTTTGGATACCCAACTACTTGAGCCACATTTTTTGATAGTTCCGTTTGTTTGTTCCATGAGTTGTTTGTTCCATTTTCTGTTTGGTGAATCTGCATTTCCCATGTCCCATACCTTGATATTCCGCAGCAAAGCAGGTTATGCGAAACCTGGACTGGGCTGAAGAGGAACCGTCTGGTGAGATGGAGGGAACTTTCGGAGATCTTCCCAACTTTGTTGCTGGAAAAACCTACTGTGCAGCAACCTGGGGTAAACTAACATAGAGGTGGAAAACCCCATGGTTTGCCTAGGAAAATCATCTACAAATAAATTGAAATAATGGGTTCTCTAAATCTATGGTACTTCGATGGTAATCAAACATGACTAGCTGGAGACCCAAAGGACCTGCCTCTGGCAAAGTCACATAGCTATGGAAAATCACCATTTTTATAGTAGAACATCAAGATACCTCAAGTCATAAATGGGGGTTTCCATAGTCATGGGGGTACCCCCCCAAAACGCTGGATTTTTTTTCCGCCTTTGACTTTAATGCCGTGTGACAGCGGTAGAGACAACCAGCTACGCGTGAAGTCCCCACCAATGATTGTGATCATTAATTTAAAAACACAAACAAAACCAACAAAAAACAACAAATTCAGGGGTGACGACGAGACACACCATGGGACAGTCGAATGCACGGATGCAAAATGACAGATGCCGGATCGAATGCAAATGAATGCATCCTCCCAGGGTGGATACACAGGTGCCGATCTGTGTGTCCACTAAGGACGGAATGGCATACACATTTTCCTCTTTTTCCCCATTGGGGTGACAAAAATAGAATGTAGTTTTTGATACGGCAGGGCACCGGTGGTTAAAGATGCAGTCAGTTTAACAGCAGGGACCCAAAAACTATTTCCAAGATCCTTCAGGGCGCCTGATTGCGAGACCCATTCACCAGGGAAGATAGGACACTGGTGGTGACGGGTCCAGTTAACAATACGGTTCCAAGTAAAACTTTGCTGTGAAAGTTTAAACTCAGTTTCAGCATATTCCAAGTTCTGATCAACAAGAGCCAAAACCCATCTATAAATGGATGATTTAGGGGTACCCCCATTTTCGGAAACCCTCAAACGGGTCATTTTCAATAGCTATGTCAAATTACCAGAGGCTAAAGTGTGTCTTGGAGCACCCCTTGCAGCTCTGAACATAACTCAACACACAACCGGAGGGTACTTTATCATCGGCGACCATCCTGGTGCTATTGTTGGGCCATCCGGTGATATTTCTTGAAGGCCATTGTATTCGATGCTAAAATTCATCACTTGAGTTTTGTTTTTGATCACTGGCGACTTTTTTCCGAGATTGGCAACAGGGCAACCTGCTTCCATTTTTTGGCCGGAGGGTGTCTGAACTGTACCAGTGATTGGTGCACCAAGCTTTTGGGGGAAAGCCTTGATGTTTTCATATGTTTTCTCTAAATCAAATAGCAACAAATCTCGCCGCTTCCAATGGGCTTAGCTTTCAATAGTAAGTTTGCAGCTTTCAATAGGAACGCAATCTACAAGGTGGTTTTCCATAGTTGGCTTATAAGTCCTATAACTAGGCTTTATGGAGGTTGTATCTATAGCTAATGGGGATTATAAACCAAAACACATAACTGGGGGATACCACCTTGGTACACTCTACAACAGGAGATTGCTGGACTAATCGATTGTTGAATGGCTAGGAAGCTCCAGGTTGGATTTAGGAAGCCATGGATCCATAAAGCTGTTCGTTTCCCCATGATGGTTGAACAAAAACCAAAGAAAATGATCTTAAATGATGATCTTGAAATCCCTTGATGATTGGAGAGATTTATAAGATTTTACAATCTATTCCACATGTTGTGGTTGAAAACACATAAACGATTCATTAGATCATGATCTTGAAAAACAACATGACGAATCACGATGGTTTGATACTTATTCTTGATGACCAGATCCGACTACAGGACCGCTCCACAGCTGGGCTTCAGATCAGTCAGATCAGCAAGTAGCGAGTGTAGCGAGTAGTGGGTTAAGTTCACCCAACCTTGACCCATCTTCATTTGGGTTTGTCTGAAAATAGGGTTAATCTTCCCAATGAAATAGCCATTTAAAAACGGGATAATGATCAGCAAAACCATTGGGTAAAAGGGGTACACGACATTTTCAGACACATATTCATTTTGGATGAAGATTTCGGGGCTTCATGATTTTTCATGATATTCAACGGATTGATTTAAACGGAACATAAGAGCCAGAAACACAAAAATACCATGTGATACTCCAATGGGTAAAGTAACGTAGATGTGAAAAACCAACAGTTTCCCGTTCGGAGAATGATCCACATTTCTAATGGCTTCTCCACACCTATGGCAATGTTTGCAGGAAGCTACACGAAGGAACATTTACCCGAAACAGTGGCTAGAAAGCCAAGAAACCCGCCAATTTCGAACATCACTTTCCACAATAAAATGTGATACCCTCTGATCAATTAACAACCACTACTGAAAAACTGAGACAAGTGACTGATCGCGTTTTCCAAGCTTTCAAGTCTCCATTTTTGGAGATCCAATCCCAATAGAGACGATCGCTTTTGCGACATGTCTACATCCGATCTAGTGGGCCATGTTTTTTCGGGCCCGCATTTCAGTGGCTGGTGCCTTTGGGGTGTTTTTGTTGGCTGTTGCTCTGGCTGTTGCTGCTGTTGCTTCGCACCTCGGCTACCCCCATGCGATTTGCATTGGGTCAGTGCCTCTGTTCCAAGTGAGAGGACGGCAGGCAGACGGCCCAATAAGATTAGATAGGCAGAGCTCAGCTAGGCAGACGCGGAAAGTCCGCCGCTCAGCTGTTGAAGAAGAAGAAGATCAGTTAACAGTTCGATCCTGAAAATGATCAATTTTTAATGGTTTCACTAATCTTCCAATGCCGAAAATAGGCAGGGTCTATGTTGATTTAATGGAGGGTAATTTTAGTCACCATACTTGTTAGATTTACATGGTTTTGGGGTAGCCCCATCTTACAAAATTTCCAGTGGAGAGTAATTGCACATCCCTAACATCCCCAACAAAAACGGCGCAACCATCCAGAAGCAGGAGCTGGAGAGAGTTCCATCGGAGCGCCTACGAGAGGACCTGGTGAGGCAAGAGCAAAAACGTGTTGAAAAGGCTTGGAAAAAGATATGGAAAAAGGATGATTTGCCCAGGATTTACTAATAAAAATCGTGGGCTTTGGTATGGGATTTAAATAGGACGTAATGGGATATTAAAAACTGTGGGAAATATGGTATTCGGTGGGACAAACCATGGGATTGAATGATATTCGGAGGTTTTGTCCAATTTTTAGTGGGACCATCCGATTAATAAATGAATCCCAGGGGGGGTAGTATAAATCGGGTATAGCCAATTTCATAGACCAAAATTGGGGATGGGTCATTATTGGGTTTACGACATTAATGGGAAACCTCATCCCGTTGTGTTTTACGTCAAATAAACAAAATAACATGGGACGTCTTTCAACGGTTTATCTAAAGTTTTTAGTCTTTTTGAAATATATTTTAAACAGTGTTTCGACACACCCGCCTCTCATAGGTGATTGGATACAATAACATCCAACATTTGCAAGTGATTGACAAGAATTGAGGAACTTCGTTGATCAAATATCTGGTTTGACTGGTCAAGCTTCCGTTCTTGTCGGGGTTGTTGGTCTCAGTATCTTCCACTGTCATGGCCGATTTCCTGTTTGCCATCTCATAAAAGTTTCTGTTTTTGTGTCTCACATTCCATCTTCCAGAAATTATTATTCATCATATTGGACCATGTTTTTGTGGGTTAAATCTCCATACTTTTTCAGGCAATTTTAAGGTTAGACATGTGGTTCTACTGCTTGCATGTCTACAGCCGAAAAAAATACGATGTTGATGATTTCAGATCACCATAATGACCAGACCAAACTGGTGCCCTGGTTGCAGCTGGTTGCCGTA